GGGTTGCCTTTTAATTTGATCAAATCCTGTACGCCCCCACACACACTCCACCCCATCTAGACTTCGTTGTCGTCGCATTTCATTTGATTGATTTCTCAAAAACAAAAACCCAACGCAACAATAAATAACTCTGCTGCACAACTTTCATCCTGCTGACAATGCAATAGTGCGATAACATTCAATTTTTGGGCATCGAATTGCTGGATACCCTTAAGATACATTCTCAAATATACATTCCGACAATTGATAATGAAAGTAAGGATTACAGAAACCTTCCACCTTCGTCAAGCATCGCAGACCAATTGTAAGTTTGGACAAATTTACAAACACGTCCCGATTCGAATGTGTTCCGGGCTATCTATGACCGTATCTACGGCCGAGATGCTACCAAAAAAATGACACAGACATCCAGACGACAGAGACATAAGCATATTACAATATTACACTGTCACCGGAAATGGCTGTAACGGCAAAAACAAGCTGCAAAAAATGCTGGGGAAAATCGGGCAGAAAATAAAAGAAAAGGCAAGCAGATTGTATGCGACAAATGGGAGATAATGTAGCTGGTGAGTGGGGACCGAGTTTCGGGATGACAGGGACTGGGAATGGGAATGGGAATGGGATACCTCTGAACCGAAACCAAATCGAAAGTGAGAAGCAGAGAGAGAGACGGCAAATAAAGACGGCCTGTCTATGTCTGTGTGGCATTATTTTAACATTTTATGCTGGCACAACGAAAATCTGACAGTTGACTAGCGCAGGAAATATGCTCACAGGGATAGATCTCTGTGTGTTGATGGGTGTGGGTTTGGGCCATGTAATACGGAAAAGAGCGGAAACGAGGGCGAAAAGTGTTAAAAGAAGCCGACGAGCAAGGCAGTAGTACATGCACGAGGAATTCCTCTTGGGCCGGGGCGTTGATATTCAATCAGCGGCACTCATATATTCATCATCATCATCAGCAACAGCCAGGGCCATGGCTCGGCAGGTCCCCGGACACACATATCCCTGCCACATCCCTGCTGGGAGCCACCTAGGCCATCCACCATCATAATTGACAAACCAGCTCACGTAGTGAATCAGTGATGAATGTTTTTATGCTTATTGTTGAGTTCACTGAGCGAAATGAGTTGTTTGTCTGTCCTGTCCGCCGGTCCGTGGGCTCACGTATGTGTCAATGTGTGGGCATTAGCCCGCCCTGCGACCTGCCACTAGTCCCGGCTGCACGTGCGGAGCCTTGGGGCAGGGGCAAGTACGCACAGATATTGATGTAAGCTCGATCTGCTCGGCATTTTGAAGAGTTTTCAGGAAAAACATACTGTAACAAGAGCCTCTAGTTGGAGTTTTTAATTAACAAAAACAGAATCTCTTTGTTAAATTGTTCCAAGTCCAGACATCTCCAAAAAGTTTAACATTTAAGCTCGGATTTCTATGAAAAATATTTGCATATTTATGCTTTTATTTAAATAGTCTCGCTGCATACATTTCAATGGCATTTGATATGCAATCTAGTGCCATAAAATATATATATTTTTTGCTGCAACAGAGACTCAAGGGCTTCGGAGTAACAAAACCGAGAAAGTAACAAAACCGCAGAGGGACTACCAGGGCTCACACATCATGCCACCATTAGCCGCAACTCTGGTATGGCCATTGCATATTGCAATTGGAATTTCGCCAAACGGCAATTGAAATTATTAACATTCATAGATGAATGACAGTCATCGGCGGCATGTGGTTGGGGCTTCCGTGGGTTTCAGGGTTCATAATAAATTAGGTTGATTGCTGTGGGGATTCTCACATACATACGTGCATATATAAGTACGTTTTTATTCGACGGGCTGGGCAGGAACTCCTCAATCACTCCGCCCGGGCGGATTTTATTTTTTCGCCGTCCGCCCCCGGGAAATTGTTTGTTTTGTGGCCACTCGAATTTCTCAAAAAGCGAATCAACTCTTTGGGTATTTGATTACCAGTCTGGGTCGCCGGCCCATCATCAATTATTCGGTTGCAGGTCAAGTGAGAGCGCCTGGGGGCTGGCGAAAGCGAAATTCAAAAGGAGCCACGCCAGGACAAGGAAGGACAGCGAAGGAGAGCAACAATTGCAATGATTAGCGAATGATTTAAAACCGTCAGTAATCATCATTACCGTTGTCGTCGTTGTCTGGGTTTGCGTCTCTTGCCTTCGGCACTGAGAGAAAGGACATCAGAATGATGGAAAGTCTATTACCTACTAAGTGAGCTTATGAAACAGACCTGTAGTCAAAATCGTACCTTTTTTTCCAGTGCAACCATCATTAACAAAGGCAAAGGCTGTCCAGGAGCCAAAACCAAAACTGAACAGAACCGAGCCCAGCCGAATGAACCGCCGCTGACGAGACCGACAGAGCACCGCAGGCATTTTCATTTGAGCTCGTGAAAATTTCAAGTGAAAATTTCGTTTGCGGCTCCCGCTAATGACGATAAATTGCGTCGCCATCGCACGGGCCACTATAAATAAGTTGCGCTTGGCTTGGCCCAACTTTTGACCCCGATTTAGGCCAGGGCAGGGGCCCGGGATAATGGCAGGGCCCCGGCAGTGCCGGTTGTCATCAACGAGCGGCTTAAAAATGCTGCGCAATGCGTTTCCATTCCACAACTGAATGAAATTTCGATTTATCAAATTTCAGCCGGAAAGGGTTTAGCTCCTCGGACCAGAAACCCGAATGCAGTCGGATTAGAAAGGGTCTCTGTTTGATCTATAACCCCAAACACTACACCATACACCATTCACTGTAAAATAGTGCTAAAAACTGTCTCTCAATTAAATTAATTGTGTTGAGCATCGAATCCTTTTTCCTCAAAACTAAATCAAGTTTGTCGGGAACTCGGGGTGTATCAATTAAGCCGGACAAAAGATGACTGAGCGCAATGACAGCCTTTGTCTTCATCAATTTCAGTTGGTCAAGTCATTCATCCAGACAGTCATTCAGCTGGGATCTGCTTTTTGCCGTTTGCCTTCTGTCCATTTGAAAGTGTCCTTCTGTCTGTCTGACTGTCTCTTTGTCTCTGTGGGGCTTCCCTCGCAGTTGTTGCTGATTTTATATATTCAAATTAGTTCGCTTTGCACGAGTGGCCCTCGAATGGGAGAGCGTACTACTGTGATATTTCCCATCTACGGCTGACTGACCAGCCAACCAGCCAGCCAACCCGGCACACGGCGACCCAATCCGCTCCTCCTGTAGTCCGGGGCTATCAAGTTGCCTGTGAAGTGCTTATCCTCAAATCAGTGACACTTGAATGTGCAGCACAAGTGACTGACCAAGTGGGTGACTCAATGCCTGTCCGACAGTGGGACTCAACCAGCAAGACTTCTTTGACTGGTTTTCGGTTAAAATTATAATTCTCTTACTCTTAGGCGACAAAAGATAGTAGTATTTCTCCATCTATTATTTATTATTGCAAGGCGTATATTTCTTGAAGGGTATCTCCTGTCACCTCTGACAGACAATCCAACAAAAGTGGCAAGACTTTATTTATTTACCTTGCCCCATCGCCTGCCAACTGGAACTCGAACTGAAACTGGCCAACAACTCGAGTGCTGTTTGCTTCCCTGATTGAGTAACTAAATAAAGTTGGCCCGAAGCCCCTCTCGCCTCTATGGCTTGGTCTTGGGGATTTATGAATTCAAGAGGATCATTAAATTGATTCCTCTTGCCCAGAGACTTAATCGCATCAATTAAAGACCCAGAATGAGACCCGCTTGTGGGAGAGATGTGCACGAGAGCTTGAAACTTAAGCTTGAAACCGGCAGAGTTTTGTTCCGTCGCCCGTTTTGTAAATCAATTATGTTAATGGCGGCAGAGACTACATTTTATATTGCAGTTTAATTAACATGGGCAATACTATAAGCCCCGCGATCGAGTCCGCAAACAGCCGTTCAAGGCTGGCCAATAAATTAGCGCAAGTAATTTGCGCAATTAACTAAAAATAGTTGAAACCGCTATTAGTGCGGCTGCAGCAGCGCAAATGCAATGAATTGGCCATAAATTCCCGATTGCTAGTAACTTGGCCGACCCCTTTCCCTAATTGGTACGTGATTGTGTGTGGGAGTGTCCCCGGGACCCGGTAATTTATGTTTTAACACACTCGCACATGCAAATTAGCACGCACAAAACAAATGCAAATATTGAGGCTTAAACGGGGTCAGGGGTTAGGGGTTAGGGGTCGGGCTGGCGCCCATAATGAGCTCAAGTGGGGCGGCGAGGCCTGAGGTTTTTCGGGTTCTTTGCGGTTCATCTGGCAGCAACTGTTGACAAAATGAAATCAATAAATTCTAGCGCAAATCAATTAAAACACACCAGATTCTGTGGAAGGCCTGCGAGTATGGCTTTCTTCCTCCGACCTCGATGTTGGGGGCAAATGAAAATATTTGTCAATTTGTGGTTTTTGCGAAATTAAATTTGTCACACATACGCACAGCTAGAAAGAGATAGGTAGGCTGCCACAGAAAGAGAGCGGCAGATGCCAGCATGAGTTTTGGGAATTCGTCCTCTTTTTGTGTGCAATTTATTTTAATTTATTTATACGGCTTATTAAAATTGTTGTAAGGTCTATTATTTAATTAAAATTTTGTCAAATTTGATTTGTGTCTTGCTCACAGCCAGAAAGGCATTTGTCAAATCGAATTAAATGCCAGCATAGTAGATTGAGCTTCGACATGAGTAACTTAAACTGATTATAGGATAATCACATTTCGGGAAATTAAGTCTTAAAGGAACTTTGATTTGGAAACCATCTGCTGAACCATCAAAGACCCATCCCAGTAGCCTTTCCCTTCTGTCATTTAAACTAATTCGGACAATTCAGGGCACTTTCACACAAAAACAAACACAATTGTTGATTAGCAACAGATCGACACCCTAAAGGGCACTCAGAGAGGTAAACAGGAACATAGCCGCACTGAAGCTTCGTTAAAATTCTGTAAAGAAGTTGAATAGAGCCGACACTTCCCTGGAATCCAATCTATTCCCAACAGCCACATTAACTTCCGTCAACAAAACAGATTCGAGTAGCGTACTGAGATAGTTGTCAGATCCTGCCGGCCCAAAACTGCTCGAACTCGCTCCTGTCAAATGTAAAAATCTGGAAAACATTCTGAGCTCTACCAGTTCTGCATACGATGTCAAACCAAGGCGATCGCAAATCTTGCAACGAAATCGAACGGGAGGTGGGCGGAGCGGAGTCGCCGCCTCCCTCTGATCTTCCACGTCCGCCCCACCACTCCCATTGCCTGGCTCAGGACCAGGAAGCGGTATCAGCAGCGTTAGCTTCCTCTCCCATCGCCAGTCCCACCGCCAGCCGTACGCTGGACACACGCCTCAATCCAAACGCTCCGGTTTTTGTCCCAACGTTCAAGGCCGATCTAATAGCCTGCAAGCTTTTCAATGACTGTGAGTATCGCTTGCCTTGGACGCTTGCGGGTGATACATCCTTTCCGCATCCTCCAGTGGCTCCCTACACCCGATGGAGCACAGCCTCGTCCGAGGACCTCTCTTACGGACCCCGCTTTGAATCCATTTGGCGCGAGAGCAGCCTGATGCGTCAGGAAATGATATTGGGCAACGGAGAGGAGGAGATCTTGCAGCTCCTAGAGGAGGACGAGCAGCAGGCCATGAATGTAGGAGCCGAGTCCTACGATCCCAAGCTAAGGAGAATAACCCTGACGCAGTCGAATATCCTAGACATAGTGGGGGGTCTGCAGCCGGAGCAACAACAACCACAGCAGCAGCAGGACCTTCTTCCAGGAGAGCGGAGCGAAGAGGGCCGTTCATCCAGGTCCTGGGCTGGATGCTGCTCCGCCTGTCTGCTCATGTAGCTGCACCGGCTTGTCGTTTCCTTAAATTTCACACTTAAATATGAACTTGCTAAAATGTTACATTACTCCCTGCTGTAATTTAGTATTTTACCAAAATAGTTGTACATTTAAGTAGCCCTCGATTAAAGTCACTGAGATTTAAAAAAAAATCTTAAACAATTTCTGAACAATCCTTTCAAGCGCTGCAATTAAGACTCCTTTCAGAACTTTGTAAATGCACTCCTTTCAAGCCCACTTACGAGGAAAGGTCGACTATACCTATGACATAATTTATAGTCTACATTTTAGCGCCTTAAACGGGTTTGTCTTACTTTCTACGAGGTCTTGGTTCATGCTGCCTTGCCATCAGCTACTTTGTCCTGACTTACTTTCTAATGATGTTGAATATGCATGGAAACTTTTGCCGCACGCAGAATTTGCCTTCCCGGATGGCCGTGGGTGGTGAGGACTTGATTCACCTGTCTATAGGGTGCACAATCTACGCTTTTAAGCCACACTTTAAGAAAAGGTTGCCCAGACACATGTATTTAAGAAGGATACTGGTAATAACTAGTAATAATGACTAGTTTCTTTTAGTGTACATTTTTCTTAATAATAAGTAAGTGATGAGAACTTTTTCTTCGCTCCTTTTGGCCAAGAAAGATTCCTTGTATGTGCGGGATAATGAGAAAAGTTACGAGGCGCATTCGGAGCTGTCCTATCTTTGAGTGAAAGCCAAATCCCGTCCCATTATGGCCCAAACGCAGATGTCCGCGACTTTTGAATGATTAAAATGGCCGAAAGTGGCCACATCTGCAGTTGCACAAATGGCGGGTGGAAACAATTACCAACTTGTATGCAAAAGTGCCAAATTGCCAATGGAGAAGGGCTGGCGTCGGGCGAAAACTTTCACGGCGCTCAATGTCAGGCCGGGAAAGGACATGTGAGCCGAGGATGAGTCCTACGACACCTGGGCCCCTTTTGTCCTTTGGCAAAGGATGCGCTGGCAATTTTGTGCCAATTTTCTGCGCCTTCTGTTTGTTTATGAAACAAGTCACGTAAGCGACGAAACCCGTTCGTTCGCCATGCTCGCCGGAGTCGCCATGCTCTTTGCCCCCTTTGGGGGGCGTTGAACCGTCAGTTGGCTAAGTGGGCGTGCCATCACCTTGTTTCTGGTTGCCAATGCCTCTCTGTTGTTGCTGTTGTTTTTGTTTTGGCTCGAGGCGATTGTCATTGGAATCGAGAATTCGGCAGCAATTGGCAAACGTCACGAAAGCAGGTAAAACTTTTCACGATCTTTCGCGCCCTTTTCGCCTGATTGTTGATTTGGTAATCTTTTATTTTAGCCCTCGCTTTTTTGTTATTTTAACTTTTTCCGCCAGCAACTTTTTACTTTTCCATAACCGGTTTTTGTTGCCTTCCTGGTTGGCTGTTTATTGCATAAAATTTATGCTCGTATATTGTGCAATTGAAAAAGTTTGTCACATTTCTGTGATTTTCCGGTCTCTCTGTCAGCAGGACAGTGCGTTTCGAAAGTGATATGACTTTAGAGAGGTTAGGAAATTAAAATTATAGGACATTTTAACAATTATACTGTGTTATCCTCGTGTTATTACTTAAGACAGTCGCATATAGATTCTCTCTTTTTTATAACTTCTTCAACAGTAATACTCCATTTAGGTAAGGCACTGTACTTTGCACAACAGGCCCTTGCAAAATGTTGAAATAGGGGAAACCAAAGCCGCTGGCATAAGCCATTATTTATGCATCGATTTCAAATCACCAAAAACAAAGCGGAGCGGGTCAGAAAAAGAAAGTTTCGAATAAACACTATGGCAGAGCGGAAGGCGGCAAATAAATAGACAGCACAGGGATGTGGGAAAACAATGCCTGCAATAAATATCCTTACATGTGTACTCTGGTCTCTGAGAGCATAGATGTATGTGTGTACACCTATAAATAAATTCATTTTGTGATATTTATGCCTTGATATGGCAATGGCAACGACAACGGCAGCGGCTAAAATGCCAATCAGTTCAATGACCAACAAAAGTTTGTCTTTTCTTTCAGTATTGGCCGCAGATTCTAGTTGGGTTATATTTTAGTTTTAAGGAGGTATGTTGAACTTAATAATAACTATAATTTAATAATAAATTCATAAGCCACATTAATACTCATGGGATATTATTATTTTTCTTTCAATTCTAGTATATTAACTCTATAGAACTCTATCCTAGGGTACAATAGGAGTTATCCTTTTTCCAATATCCTTTCTGTCTCTATTTCGACTACTCTTTTAGCCACCTCTGTCCTTTTTGGCAACAAATGAAAAGGAAACAAGAGAGACAGCTGCGAATGTTGGCAGCACTTTTAGTTAAATTGAGCAACAAACACGTTTGGCAATAAAAATGATTCCACTTCCAGTTGCTTTTGATGTTTCTGTAGCTTTTGGTATTGCCACGCCCCCTAAGCCCAAGCCAGTTTCCTGGCCCACTCCTAACCCGCCCTCCTATCAGATACATCCACTTTCGACTCCAGTTGGAAAAATGCAAGCCGCAATGCGCTGGCAGAGGAGTTTTTCACATTCCAACAGATTTATTTCACTCGAAATAGTTTCATTTTAGTTGCATTATTGTTATTGTTTGTTCGTTGTTATAGTTGTTTCTGTTGCTGTTGCTTCTGTTGCCTTGCTTGCTTTATTGTTATAGTTGTTGCTGTTTGCCAGAGTGACTGTGAAAAGTTTTTCTATTATTTTCAAATTTAACTTTGCCATTTGTTTGAATTTCAGGGATAACACGTGTGTCTCTGTGTGTGTTCGGCTTGGAAACTCTGCATGTGAGTGTGTATGTGGAAAAGGGTTTAAGGAACGGAGTTTCCAGTATTTACCAAGTTTTCTTTAGGGTGCATTGCTTGGCTTGTCCAATATGAAATATATTATCGAAGCGCTCAACTTTTCCCAGCTGCGCAATTGCCACTTTTGTGGTTGTCTTTTTTGAGAATTTCCAAGATCTCTAGCAACAGGTTAAACCAAATAGTTAGGATAGCTCAGAAAGGATCTGAAAAGTCTGAAAGAACCCTAGGCTCTGCCTAGTTCATATTCATCCTAGTTAGTGTTTCAAATCTTTCATTCACCTTTCGCCCATCCATCTAGTTTACCTGTTTTTCATTTAGACCCTGCAGCCTGTCTCCCACCTCCTGCCACCTGCCACCTCTCCTAAAAACAAACACTCATGGACAAGGTGCCCAAATTACTGCCGGTTGTTGGTGTTGCCGCGTGTCGGTGTTGCCACCTTGTAGCCAACAGAAGCAACAAAAAACAGAGCCAAAGAGAAGATGGCCAACGAAAGAGCAGAGTTGGAAAAACACGGCCGCACAAACAGTTGCAAATGTTGCATTTGCATGCATGGCCAGTTGGCTGCAAATTTAACCTCTCTGCTGGCCACTCGCCCACCTGCCACCTGGCCACCTAGCCACCTTGCCCCACCGTGTTGGCCAGTTCAGGTGAACGTTGTCGCTGCTATTTAGACAAGTGACATATGCGCCATGGAGGAGGGAACGAGAGAGACACCTCATGCAACATGCAAAATGGTGTGTCAGAAAGGAAAGCCGCCTCGGTTTCTGTTTGCCCCCCGGCACCTCACACTTCCCCTCGTGGGGGGTCATCTCTCGCCTCTTTCCCGCCCCTCCCAGCTGGAGAGGAAAAGGATGCCGCCGTCGCAACAGAGAAAGCACACTGGATTCAGGATTAAGTCAGTTATTGGAGGGATACATTTTTAAAGAGAAATTCTTTTAATATTCAATACTTAAATAATAATTTTTATTAGATATATAGTTTTATAGTTATAATAGTTAGTAAGCCACTTCTAGTACCCTTTTTTAGGAGGACACTGTGTCGCACCAGGTGGCGTCCAACACCTGCGTCCGGCGCTTAAAGAGCCGCCTCGGCAGTGCACAAATTGCAGGAAGCCACCGGCCGTGAGCACGGCAGACAAACAAACGCAAAAACAACCAGAACTAAACAACAAACCCGTATGTGAATCTTTAGTTTTGTATTTTTTCATTTCAGCCCTTGTTTTTGACACAGTTCAGGGGAGCAGTCGACGGTGTATTCGTGCTCCTCTTCGCTTTTTTTTTTGGCCCGGCTTGCTGTTGGTTTCCGCTTTTAGTTGCAATTAAACAAGCCAGTGCACCGCACCGACCCAGCGACAGAAAGGACATTCAAAGGCAGACTGAGGACCCTGCTCATCAGTGCAATGTCCAATTTGGATGCATCGCCCCTAGGACTTCTGTCGCATAACTCACAATCAGTGATGTTCTGCTAGAAAACCCCTTTGCAGAGGAATCCGCTCTTTACTCAATTATTTATCAATTTAATAATTGCTCCCCGGGATCATCGGTTAGTCATTCATCCGTCGTTAGGGGTTTATCAATTACGTCATCAGCCGGGAGTCCCCCCGTCGCTGAAACTCAATCAAAACTGACGTCTGTCGATTAGCGGCAGGTTGAGCGCGCGCCGAGCTTAACCTCGGAGGCCGACAGCTCCCCGAAAATGGATGCGAAAAGGCCAAAAACGGAAAAGAGCCAAAAATATGCAGGCGCCAATATTTACCTATAAAAATTGTTTAAGCATTTTCTGTTGGCACAGCAGTTGCCATGACAAAATACACACAAGCAGCCGCCACACCGGGGTTTGTGGGGAGTGCGGGGAAAAAAGTTAAGGCGCCAGGCCGCCATGGGGATATGTGCATATGTGTTTATGTATGTAAATGGCTATGCACATATATACTTTTTTTGGTGCGGCAAAAATTAAATTAAACATTTTTTATGCCTTCGATTCCCAGGGAGCTTCGAGTGGCAAATAAATTTCTGTATCGCATGACATATGCATCAAAGTGTGGAGTGGCGGTGGCGGTGGCGGATGGTGGGGCCAAGGGCCGTGTCACAGGCCTGTCGCAGCTGTCAATAAGTGCGTCGAGTTGACGTTAAAACTCGGGCATTAAAATATGCTGTTAAAAATGCAG